GCAACCAAATTCAGAGGGGTCAGAACGGATTAACCGTATTTACACTGAACCTTATGGGAAAATTTGATTCGGTTCACGACCAATTCGGTTCGTGACCAGAGTCGCGGAACGAATTAAGTTCGTGAACCGAGGTACCACTGTACTATGTTAACCTATGTTTTGCTTAATTTTGGTTTATTGGACAATTCACAGTTGGCTAGGTTTCACGTGCTAAACTGTCACCCATGGTTTACAAGTCATGATGGCTTGCTTCATACAACACACTAAGTGAAAACAAAACAAAACCAGTTTTATTATAAGTTAATATGATGTGTGAACCCAGTGTTATGGTACATTCTGATTGGCAAGCAAGACTGATGAGAAAGAGGAAGAAGCTGTAATGCTAATAAATACTGCTACTGCTGCTAAAGGGAAGTAGGATAACAACAAGGTGTGCTAGAAGATGGCAGCATTTCCGGATCTCCATGTTGTCTATTCCCAATAATAGGCATGGGCTGGCAATTAAGGGCTGGCTCTGTACGCATCTGCATCTATGAGGAAAAAAAGCATTATAGCCCATAGCGTGGGTTATGGAGCATTTGGGGGGGGCAAAAGTTAAAGTCCTCCTAATGTAATCAGAAGAACCTGACATTCCTTAACTGACTAAAGAAACTCCTATTTGTTTGTTTGTTTGTTTTGATTTTTATGGCCACCCTTCTCACCAAGACAACACTGGCAGTGAACAAAGTTTAGAAATAAAAATTACAATATAAATAACCATTAAAGCATATAGCATACAATCCAAAAAAAGAAACAGCAGCTGAGAATTTTTTTTAAAAAACCACAGAATACAATCCTACTACCTGAGCTTCTCTAACTTTCAGACCCCCACACCTGGGTAAACAGCCAAGTCTTCAGTGCTTTCTGGAAGGGTCAAAGCCAATCTGACCTCATGTGGTAAACTGTTTTCAGTACAGGTATTACAACTGAAAAGGCATGCTTTTTGTGGGTGTCTTTTCAACTAGCACCAAAACAGCCCCAGTCTGATCTTTTCAATCTGCTTAGTCACCCCCTGGAAAATCTCCATCACGAGCCTGTTTTCTCTTGCTAATTCTACTTCCACAGACCCCTAACTCTGTGCTGTTCATCAGGATAAGGCCCCCCAAATCTTCCTTTAAGAAGGAGCTTCTCCCCTTAATTACTAGCCCAGTGATGCCACTGTTGAGAAATCTGGGAAGGGATTCAGAAATCTCTAGGATTCCCAGGTTAAAAAAGGTCCTTATAGACAAAAAAGATTCCTTTGAGTCAAGTTCAACTTATTGAGACTTCATGAGCATGTCTATGTAGCTTTCTTGGCAACAATACAGAAGTTTTGCTATTACCTTCCTATGGGAAAGGTATGGCCAACTAGCTAATAACTGCAAACATACACTGCAGTTAACAGAACTGAACAGGAAGATTATGGAAATGAAATGAAATGAAATGAAAATACAGAATGTGTCCAAATTATTTGGAAGGTGTGTTTGAATGCAGCATTTTGAAATTACCAATGGTACATGCTTGTGGCAGGTAGTTCTCTTAAAGATTTTGCCATTCTTCTTTACATTTTAGGTAGCTACTACTGAATATATTTACTGTGCCCAAAGAACCAGCCATCTAAGCAGTTGCTTTGACTCATCTAAATAGGGATACAGAACTTTTGCGGCACTAAGGACTACACTTGGTCCTTGAGTGGAGTACCAACAGCTGGATTTGAGAAGCTGTCAGGGGGAAGACTTAAACTAAATGAAATGTAGTGCAACTTAATTTAATTTAAATCATTAAAATTAAATGAATATGATTACTCTCATATATTTAATAATTTCCGAATCCTGTCACACTAGAAATTACAGTTCCATAGCCGCTAATGTTGAATGAACAAAAAGCCAACTAATGCAACAGAAATTTCAGGGCACCTTCCTTCCACCTGTAGTTCCCCAGTCTGTCAACCCCTGTTCAGGAGAATCCTTCAATTCTATGGAGCAATTTTGTAGGGCTTGACAAAGGCTGCATATTTTTATATCAGGCCTATATCAGTAATGCTGCTTTGAGTAGCTTATTCAGGTCATAGAATGTCACTGCAAAGTATATTTACACTTTGACCGATTATAAATTACCCAGGGAACGGCTAAACATGCTGTAGAATGCAGTACAGTGTACCTGTTCAGAATTCTTTCAGTAGTCTGACTGCATATGAGAACCATTCCATGCTATATTTGTAGACTAGAGGTGGCTAACATTTAGCACTTCATCTATTTAACTGTTCTCCAAAAGGCACAGATGAGGTTACCAGAATGGATTGGGCTATACCCATCCTAATCTGGGTGTTTTGCTGAGTTCTGGGTGCACTTCTACAGGAAAGTATGGATACATCTATTTCTATTACCAGTTTAATAACTACCAAAACAACTACAACTTAGTCAAAAATCATATATCCACTGAATTCTAGCTGCAGGGGCACTTGCAAGAACAGTAAAAAAAAGTTAGGATGGTGGCTAAAAATATATGATCAGAGCCCGACCACCTTTTAATGTGTAGCAGGGGCTTTTAACATGCAGCTACCATCTTGATTTTTTTCACCACCACCCCCGCAGACATGCCATCTGGCACTGTGATCTTCACTGGCTTCAGGTCTCACAAAAATGAGCCTGCAAGAATGGCATGGCGCTATTTATCTCCTTCGACTGATAGCAAGTGAAAGGGAACGCTTGAATATTCTGGAAATGTATTTCTTAAAATCTTTACCTAGTTCTGCTTCATAAACCTCACTGAAATGAATAGGAGCTGCCCAAGAACACACCTCCCATTCATTTGCATGGGACTTGGACAGAACTATTTTATAGTGGTTTGTGTCATGGAACTGCACTTAATCAAACTGAGTTTTATTACACCATTATGAACTGAAGTATGTTCCCCGTAATTTTTCTTCAACAGACCTCATCTTGTAAACAAATATCATTTCTCAGAGTTGAAATATGTTCCTTCCCACTAAGTGTGAAAGTATAAACCTTGAAAGAAAGAATGAGATTTTAAAGACGATAAGGTATAGTTCAATGGAAAGAAGGCACCTTGCTTTTTCTCCTTTCCTCCTTTCTCTCTTTCTCCCTGTCCTTATTTCCTGCTCATGCTATTAGTATTGCCAAAAACAAAAAACCATTATTCTCTTTTCAGCCAGTAGCATGGATGTTCAAGGATTTCTTGTAGAAAGGAATTCTTAAATGAAATTATTGGATTCACATTTCTTGAATTATGCTGCTGGTAATGCAATTATCCTTTGATTCTTGTTCTACTCCGAGCTCTACTACACAGTTTTTAGCTCACAAGGTATGAAAATGCAAATACAAATAAGTAATTTAGGGTAATGTGCATATCAAAATGCATACTTTGTGAAAACATACCTTCTCCTGCAAATTCCTGTGCCGTTCTTCAAGGAAATCGTCAGGATGCTGTAGAAACAGGAAAAAAATGGACAAATAAATGAAGATATGGCATGCTGATATGAAAAGGATATAGAATGGCCCAGCCTTATCAGGTGCTATCAGCTTTAATGAATAAATTGACCTACATCTCTTCTGGACTCAGTTCTACACTTTTAAGGTAAATATAATCAAATGGGTTTGAGTGAACTGTTATAAGCCAGATCTATTCACCCAGGTAATACAGTAAATAAGATAATAAAGTGAAGGAGGTGCATTTTCCCTCTTTTTCTAAATAGCATTTCAGTGTGCTGAGCCTGATAAAGAGAAGATCCTGTTTGGCAGCCACTCCACTTTGCCCAGCTGTGGCCCTCTCAGAAAGAAGGGAAGGGGACTTGCATTGCTGTGGCCCTCTCAGGAAGAAGGGAGGGACTTGCATTGCTACATATAAAACATCCAAGCATGAAAATCTGAAGGGCATTTTGAGCAGATGGGGGTGGAGAGGGGGAAAGGACTCACCACCATGCTTTGGGAATTTCTGGTTCTCCTCTGCAGCATCATACACCTTTCAGGTAAGCCAAAAATCAGCAGCTCTCCCAGAGAGAAAGGCAAGAGATTTCTTTTCAGCTGTCCTGTTTTAAAAATTGGAAGACACCTCTCTGTCAAAATGTTCAGGTATAGGAGGCAGCGTAATATGGTTCCATTAAATTATTCTAATGGTAAGGTCACGGACTGGCTCAAATAACATTTTCTTTTGACACTTTCAGGGTGGACTAGCCAACTGTTATCCTCATGTCAATCAGTCAGTCAATGCTATATGAGAAAAAGCTTGGCTGTACAAATCTATTGAGGCAAGGCTGAATGATTGAATGTTAATGTCCTAACCTTTTGCACTTTGCAGTTTTGGGGAGCCATTTTCTGCTTTTCATGCCACTGAGGTCCAAGCAGGACTTTTCCTAATATATAAAACCTGGGAGAAAACCCATGTTTATGCCTGAGAGCTAAGACAGATAGATGGACACATGAGCACACACAATAGTGTGTATTAGGTCAATTCAATTCAAAAGAATTTAACCTTCTTTTGATGTTGAGCATTTTATTTAAGATATGCTTCTGGTATGACTATAAAATCTTCAATCCAGATTTGTCAATTAAATTTGTCTTGTAAAGTTTTTGTGAGCAAATCATTGCCTTCAACAATCAATCCAAAGTTGTTCATTCCAAGAGTGAGTAGGCATTCCTTTTGCACTAAATTCTTTTTCCCCAGAATTGCAGGTAAATTGTTTTTGAAAAGGGAGTTCCATCAATCTGTTTGGCTAATAGTTACTGATATTCCATGAAGATCTTTATAAATAGCTCTATTAACTACAGTACTATGAAACATGTTTCATATTTTGCCTTCAAGATTGCATTATATGGTAGCTGTTTTATAAATCTTTTGTTTTCCTTATTTCTCAGATCAAAGCCAAATGGATCTTTCAAACTATTTACCAGGTAAGTTTATGGAATGTAAATTAGTCTTCTGAATTGCCAAGCATATAGAGTTTCAGTACTTCCCACTGTCTCTTGGAATTCCTTTTGGTACTGTTATGGGTCCATGGCCCTTGGATTGCACGTGGCCTTGGTCATACTTTTACAGCCCAGAGAATTTTGGAGACCCATGGTTATTCTTAACCATGATAAACCAGTGATCAGCAGGGGTCCTTAATTTGGTAGCAGATATGGTTCTTGGGACAAAAAGTTAAGCAACTCATTCTTGGTTGTCATTTCTTGATGTTTGTCCTTTTTTGTCTTTTCCTCCCTTTGCAGTTACAGTTGGTTCTAAGGCTGCCAAAAGCATTTCAAGCATATAGATTTGGTTGCTTTAATCACTGATGTAATTCATTCTGAAAATTCTACATTTATTTATTTTGCATGGTTTACAACACCTAAGGATCCATTTGACATTACCACATAATTGTTGCAAGATGAGTCTGTAAAAGTGTTCTATGAAGAAATAAGTGCAATAAAGCTCTGATTTAAGCTTCACAGGCTAATCTATAATCATGCTTATGTTTATTTAGAATATATGTTTATTTAGAAGTTCCATAGATTGGTTGTAAACTCTGTATACCACATGTAATATTGCCTTGGAAGATACAGTCAAAGAATTGTGTCTATCTGACTGGACACTGAATAAGCTTGTGAGAAATCTAAACTTGGTCCATGATCTTGTGGTCAGTCATAACTTCTACAGGGTCCAGCAAATGATGCCTTATCTGAAAGAACTTCTTGAAGGCTGAAATTTAATTCTATCATAGTATTGTTCAGCTAGCAGCACCTGCCTGGCATGGTATGCAGAGGGGAGAATGCTGTCTGGAAACTCAGGAGCAGATTGGAATAGCACAGCTCCCAAGCTGAAATCAGGCACATTAATCTGTATAGTAAGGGGTCAGGTGCAATGACAGAGAAGTGAAGGTGTGTTTGATTTGATCAAAGCTTTGTTGAGATTTGGAATCTGACTGAAAAGATAAATCCATGATAAACCAAGTCAGTGGTATAGCTTCAAAATCAGGAATGAATTTATGGTAACAATTGGTGCAGCCCAAGAATTGATGTACATTGCAGAAACCCACACTTGCTCAATCAGTGAGAAGGTGCTCTGGTTTTAGAGCCATATACAGTTTACTCTTGAGTGAGGAAGCCAGTAAACTTGCTTGAATAACTATCTGGCAAAGTAGAAGGCACCATTGTTGCTACTGCAATTGTGGCAGGATATGCTAGGGCTGCTGCTCAGTTCTTGTGTGATGGGGGGGGGTTCTTACCTTTTGGGTTCAGTTTTTCATTGTCTGGGCTAGAAGGTTCATCTAGATAGCCACCTGTATTGATACTTCAGCAAAGCATATCTGGTCAGCGGTCAGCAGAATCCCTTGGGTGTCAGTGGCCATCAAGACTCTTGAATAAGCATGCAGTGGTTCTTCCCCCATGATAAGGAATCAAGCTATCAGTGTCCTTGGCGTGAATTCCTCAGAAGCCACCCAGACACTAAACATGACATGGCTAGATAAGAATCTTGATTGCATACTTGAATGAAGCCACTTAAAACAGTTGATTGCCTTTTTCTCAATGTAGACATATAGTCTTCTCTTATAGCCACAGCAGTTTAAACCCACTGCTTCTTTCTACTAATTTTCTGATGGTTTAACATGCACCTGGCCTTCAAGGCTTGTTGCCAGATAGCAGTTGGTGGTTGACATAATTGACATTCCTACCTTAAAAAAAACTCTAGCTCTCAAGGTATGTCCCATATATTGTCTCTTGATAGGTCATACTTTCTAGAATGGTGCATGATTACCTTCTTACCAGTAATTCTTTTTCTCTGGGGCATTCAATTTATATATAAAGTGCTGTCACATGGATAGCATCTGTGTCTTCATGTATTTTTAAATGCATCTTCCCCATTACCTAATGATTTCTTCTTAGCACCTCAGTAGATATTAATAGTTTACCATAAATTGTAGGTTTGTACAATCCTTCATTTCTAGAGCATTCACAAGAGCTTTAAAATTCTGGAAGGCTGCTTAACATTCATCCAAGTTAGAATGCTTTATATAGCCTGCTACCTACAGGAAGGAGAGAATACTTCTTCCTTTCCATTCCCTCAATCACTTCAAATTGCACCTGGCAATATTCACTGAATTTGCAATCCATTGGGTGCATGATTGCACAGTTCTGGTTTCTTAGCCAGCTTACCCTGCTTGGGTGTTCCTATGAATGTGAAAACTGCTGCTTCTCTGGAACTAGCTGCATGTGCCTTATGGTCAGTCTTGGCAATAAAGGATTAAGGTACCTGACACAATATCTGAACAGTTATTAGTTCTGATAATCTGTTCTGGTAAGCAAATCTGGTAAAGCATACACACTCCATGATGTTCCTTGAAGTAGAATGTGTAGGCAGCTTCTGTTTTTGCATCTGAGACATACACTTCCTTTAAATCAGCCTATGGAAGTTTGTTTCCAGGATCAGAACTGGGGTTCATAACTAGTGATCTATTATGAGTTCTGCTGGGTTATATGTAGGAAAACAGATGGGAGTTACTTTGTAACTTAAGAAAACTAAGAATACACTTAAAAGCCATGTTTTCTGCTTCTTCTTTGGCTGGTAGACAGTGGGGTCAGGTAGTAATATGAGTAAGGTTACCCTTCTCTACAAAAAAGAGTGTACTTCTTTCTCTGAAGAAAAAAAATATATTTGAAAAAATATGTATTCATAAAAATAGACCAGGTACATATAATCTACCAATTCCAATACATTTAGTAGCCCAGTCTCATGATTACTTTATAACTTTTAATTATGTATTTTTGATTTTAGTTTGTTGTAAGCCGCCCAGAGTCCCCCGTTGTGGGGAGATGGGCA